GTCACTTTACCCACACCCACACCCACACACACACACACACACACACACACGCAGCTCATTGATTAATCAGGCAGCAAATGCTCATTAGAAAAGCAGACATTCACTACTCAAAGGCAGCGCAGAGAACTGTGCCCGTCCAGACGGGCTTGAGCTCTCAGTTGCGTGCGCGTCTGATTTCAGACCACTAGGGAGTATGCATGCTTCGCGACCTGCAAATGGAATCAAAGTCTTGCTTACACGCTGTATCTGCCTCCGAATCACTCCTCGATTGACTAGTGATTATTTTATTTATCGATAATGCCTACAGATCTTATCTGGTTGTCWTGTCACCCTTCTGTTTGTTTGGCAATGAACTGTTCTGAAGCAAAGGGGGCAAAACCCTCATGATCCGTCMAAGCATGAAGTCTAAACTCACCCAACAGATRCGAGTGGTTTRATTGGGCAGGACAATTTGTCTTTTTCCGTGACTAAGTAATGATATGGAATTCTCCCAAGAGAAGGGGGAGTGGTAGGTGGGTCTCAAAGGTTACCCTGCTGGTCGCTGAGGACCTCCGAAGCGGGCGCGGCGAGTGACAGGCGTCGTTGCCCTTGGCTTCAGCGAACGGTAGGTAGCCCCTCCCCGGGTTTCCTCACACCGGGCCCGATGCAGCATCTTAGACAGGCCCATGGACCCCGTATGGCATCTCCGAGTCCGCATACAAGGCACGCGAGAGATTCCACTATTGCCTTTGGTGCAACAGCGATCTTCATCAGACGCAGGTTTGCCCATTGAAAGGCAAGGGCAGACAGGGAAACTGAGCACCGCCGAGAGTGACACGACGACACTCTCGACGCCTTCGGAACTGGTTTCTTCGTGAGTGACCAGCCTTCATTCCGAGGCGCACGCGGAAGTCGACAGTCCTCCGCTTCTATTTTCTTTTGAGGACTATGCTGCCCGGCTCGTTCCAACGCTGGGTACTCAAGCTCAAGGACAAGGAGTGTGTGCGGTTTCTTCTCCGTCCGACAACGAGCGACATATCGTCTTCAAGTAGTTCGTCACGGGATTCGGCGCGCGAGTTCAAGATAAAGGTTTTGGACCCGCTCACGTCTGAGGACTTTGCATGGCTTCCTCTCCCGACCACAGGCTGTTTGCCGGGACCGCAATGCGCAGCACTTAGCGCTCATCTCCACACTTACCTTTCCTTCTATTCACCACCAACTTCGCCAACTGATGACGACGTCGCGGTGGGGGACATCCTGGCGTACATTACCAAGGTGGCCCGCGAGTTTCGCACGCAGCGGTACGATAACAACAATGCACCGCTCATGTATGTCCGCATCCAGGTTGGGCAAGCGTCCTGCAGCGCTTTGCTGGATAGCGGCGCGACTCGCAACTTCATGAGCCAGTCTTTTATGCAAAGAGCTGGCCTTGGCGCACAAGTTCAAAGGAAGGCAAACCCGACGGCGATCAAGTTGGCGGATGGAAAGACACAACAACTACTCGACCGTTACATCGAGGCCGTACCGGTCTACTTCGCACCTCATGCATGCGAACCGGTGACATTCGATATTCTCGACACGGACTTCGACATCATTCTGGGAATGCCTTGGCTTGCAAGTGCGGATTACACGGTCAACTTCCATCGGCGGACTTTTAGCGTTCACAACGCCTTCGGTGCGGAAGTGGCGTGTACGATTCCTCTACCGCACTCTTCGATCCGGTGCCAAGTGGTAACAGCCAAATCATTCCGGGTGACTTGTGCTTACGAGCAGCCCGAGGAGATCGGCATATGTTTCCTACGGACCGTCACGGTAGCCGACTCTTCACCCACGGACTTGTCTTCGGAACCCCGTGTGGTACGGTTGCTGGACGAGTTCGCCGACATCTTCGAGTCACCTACCGGTGTGGTGCCGGGTCGGCCGATCTCTCACGAGATCATTCTTGAGGTCGGTGCCTGCCGCCGAAAGGTTGTATCTATCGGATGAGTGAGGAGGAGCTTGAGGTACTCCGCACACAACTCGATGATTTGTTGGCCAAAGGCTGGATCCGCCCGAGCAGCTCCCCATATGGAGCACCAGTTCTCTTCGTCAGGAAGAAGAACAAGGATCTACGATTGTGCATCGACTACCGCAAGCTCAACGCGCAAACCGTCAAGAATGCGGGGCCTCTTCCTCGCATCGACGATCTTCTCGAGCGGTTGGGCGGTGCGAAGTATTTTTCCAAGCTCGATTTGAAATCAAGTTATCATCAAATCTCGATTCAACCGAATGATCGCTACAAAACCACATTCAAGACGCGGTACGGGCATTTTGAGTGGGTGGTCATGCCTTTTGGCCTCACCAACGCCCCGACGACATTCCAGGCGGCGATGACCAATGAGTTCCGTGCAATGTTGGACCGGTTCGTGCTGGTCTAATTAGCCGATATTCTCGTCTACAGCCGGACATTGGAGGATCATCTTGGACATCTTCGACGAGTGTTGGAGACGCTCCGCCGTGCCAAGTACAAGGCCAACCGCGACAAGTGCGAATTTGTCCGGCAAGAGCTGGAATGCTTGGGCCATTTTGTCACACCGGAGGGCATCAGTCCGCTATCGGACAAGATTCAGGCCGTCCAAGAGTGGCCGGAGCCTCGGAACGTCACGGATGTCCGCTCGTTCCTCGGTCTTACCGGCTACTATCAGCGCTTCATCAAAGGCTACTCCAAAATCGCGGCCCACTTGAACAAGCTTCAGTGCGAGGATCGGCCGTTTGACTTCGGAGAGGAGGCGCGGGGATCATTCCTCGCTCTCAAAGCCGCGCTATTGTCTGCGGAGGTCTTGTGGATATACGACCCGCTCGCGCCTACACGTGTCACTACGGATGCGTCAGGCTATGGCATTGGTGCAGTCCTCGAGCAACATGATGGTGTGGACTGGCACCCGGTCGAGTACTTCAGCAAGAAAGTGCCACTCGTGCATTCCATTGACAATGCACGCAAGAAGGAGTTCCTCGCCTTCGTCCACACGCTCAAGCGGTGGCGGCACTTCCTCGTTGGTCGAAGCCAATTTCGCTGGGTGACGGACAACAATCCGTTGGTCTTCTACAAGACCCAAGACACCGTCAACAGCACCATCGCTCGATGGATGGCTTTTATTGACCAGTTCGACTTCTTTCCCGATCACATTCCCGGGAAGTCGAACCGTTTTGCGGATGCTCTCTCACGGCGTCCGGATCATTGTACCGCAGTCTACTCGAACTTCGAGATTGACGACGACCTGCGGAACAGCTTCATCCGCGGCTACCAAGCCGACCCCGATTTTCGCGACAAGTACGCGAATTGCTCCTCTCCTAATCCGGCTCCTTCTCACTATCGGATCCAAGAGGGGTACTTGCTTGTCCACACGCGGGGGAAGGACCTTCTTTGTGTACCGAGTGATCCTCACTTGCGTACACGGCTTCTTGGCGAGTTCCACGACGCTCCCGCCACTGGACATTTTGAAGTCAATCGCACAATTGGCCGACTTCGCCATCAATTTTGGTGGCCCGACCTTCTCGGCGACGTCACGCGCTATTGCGAGTCATGCGAGGTTTGCCGACGCTGCAAATCCCGCAACCATCGTCCGTACGGTGAGCTACAACCATTGCCAGTCCCGTTGAGGCGAAGGGAAGCGATTGCCATGGACATCATCGGCCCGTTCCCCAAGCACAAGACCGGAGTGGATGGGATTTTCACGGTGGTCGACCGACTCACCAAGTTCGCCATGTTTTTGCCTTGTCGCTATCATGCCAAGGCACCGGAGTTGGCCGAGGTTCTGTACGCCGGTTGGATTCGCATCAAAGGGTTACCCAAAGGAGATCGTCTGCGACCGCGACACTCGGTTCATGTCCGATTTTTGGTTGGCGCTCATCAAGCGATGGGGCTCATCTCTCAAGCCCAGTTCAGCTCGCCACCCTCAGACCGATGGCCAGACGGAGAGGGCRCATCAGACCGCACAGGTTCTCCTTCGCACTCTCATTCGCCCCGACCAGAAAGACTGGGTTGAGCGACTGCCGGATGTCGAGTTGGCCTACAACTCTTCCATCCACCCGGCTATTGGGATATCGGCCTTCGAGTTCGAGCACGGCTCGCCGGTCACATCACTGTTGGACACGATTACTCCACGCACGGTCGAGAGCGACGACCATCTTCTTTTCTTGCGCCGGATGCAAGAGCTTCTTGTCAAGGCATGCGACCAGATGGCTAAGACGCAACAACGCATGCGCCAACAGGAGAACCACCAGCGTCTTCCTTGTCCATTCCGCGCCGGAGACCTTGTCTGGGTTTCAGCAGCGGAATTCAGCCTTGAACAGGACATCTCTCGCAAGCTCCTTCCGAAATGGATGGGGCCTTGGCCGATCATCGAGCCCGCTGGGGACGCACCTGAGGGGCCTTCCTTCACGATTCAGGTGCCTAGCCACTTGCCCGTCTACCCAGTCTTCCATTGTTCCAAATTGGCTCTGTACACGCCTGCGGAACATGATGATTTTCCCGAGAGACGTACGCAGGATCCACCTTCTATGAATGGTTTTCAGGAGGTTGGCGACATCATCTCCCAGCGACGCTACGACAACAAGCCAACTGAGTATCTGGTGCACTTTGCTTACTGCACTCATCGAGCTGATCGTTGGTTGACCCATGCGGAACTGCAAGCGACAGCTCCAGACGTTCTCGCACGCTACGAACGCAAGATGCAAGGCAAGCCGGATTCTTCGGCTCCACGCCGCGCCCGCGTCCAGGTTCCACCTTCAGATCGATGGCTTCGCCCTCGCCCTGGCTTGACTTCATAAGGAGGGGGGGGTGTTACATGCAGCACGTGCACACACGGGCCATTTTGCAGGCCCGACGATGTTCAGGCCAAAAGCCTGAACTTCAGGCCGAAAGCCTGAATTTCAGGCCGAAAGCCTGAAATCCAGGGCTTACAGGCCCCTGTCGGTTCAGGCCAAAAGCCTAAAGTCCAGGGCCTATCCCTGGTCCTTTCAGACTAAAAATGGCAACAGCCTTTTTAGCCTGAAACGAAGGGCCATTTTCGGTCGTTCATCAGAACGACCGGCCGTGAAACTCAGGCACCGAACCAGGGTTTCGGGAACAGACTATTAATAGTCTGTTTCCCACGCCAGCCTCAAGCAGGCTGCTGCACGCCAGCCCCTGGCACATTTCGGCATTGGCAAGCGCTGCCTCCTCGGCCTGACTGGCCTCCAGCAGTCAGGAGGCAGGCCGAGGTAGTACACAGGACTTCCCAGGCACTTCCGAGGTAGGCAGTTGGTAGTTGTAGTCTTCAGGAGTCGGGTGCAGCACTTTGGAGGGAGCGCTGCGTTGTAGTAGTGGTAGCGTTAGCTAGTAGTCTTCAGCGTTGGGCGCAGTAGGTAGCTGTAGTCTCCAGCGCTGGGCGCCATAGCTAGGTAGTACTAGAGAGAGAGAGAGAGAGAGAGAGGGCGGAGGCCAGAGGTACCTACCTGCAGCGCCGTTGCTCCAGCTTCGTCTTCGAGGTACCTGCAGCACAGTACCAACATCACAGGTTAGTACTTGGTTCGTAACAGAGAGAGAGAGAGTTCTTCTTCTTCTTCTTCTTCTCAGTCCACCATCTCTTCTCTCTCTCTCACTTCTGACTTCACTGCATCTGCAGACTATGAGAGAAGAGATACAGAGCTTGGTGACATTGGATCCAGACTCGACTTTCGAGGGTTCAGACATGGCAACGAGGGACGATTTGGGATTGGTGACCAAGACTTGGTGCTAACGACATTCCCATCTTCTTCCCTCCTTTCGTCTGTTCCTTATCTCTTCGTCTGTGTATGTCTGGACCTGGCGCTTTCTTCCTGTGTGCAGCGCCAGGCTCCCTCACACTTCGTGATGGGTACAATGCATGTTTAGTCTGAGTTCAAACATTGATTGGGTTAGTTAGAGGTACTCTAGCATTCTACTTCGTTACTCTGAACTACGTGAATGAGGTCAGTCATGTCAGATCAGTCTTGTATCAAAGTCTTCCCTGCGCTCTTCAGCATCTTTATGTATGAATGAGAATGTACATTGCTTGTCGAGATTGTACTCGTACCGCATTGTCAATTCAGTCTTTTTCATCACATTGCAGATTCTCGGTTTATTACGTACATTTCATATCTGTGCATGTAACAAGCAGCCTCTGCGAACAGGCTTGGCGATCGGTGCCTCAAAACTTCCAAAAGGTATTAATACTCACACTGGGACTTTCTGCAATGAATCTGACCTTACTTGAGCTCGGATACATCCAGTATAGTCCCAGTACGAGAATGATGATCGTAGTGTTGAAGGTGCTGCTGACCGTTTAAATGCCAAGAGATCTTTTCTTATTTTTTTTAATATATACCGACAGATCATAGGGTGTGTGCATAGATATTGCGGACATTCAGACAGTATATAGCAGAGGGCTTCCCTTATTAGGAAAAGTTTTCCAACAGACGGAAAATGAGACAGCAGAGAGCTCAAACAAGACGGAATGAAAAAGCCAAAAGCGATAGAACTAAGAGAGGCAGGGTCGTGCCACCTGAAAACAAAGAAGAAGAGAGGCAGGGTCGTGCCGCCTGAAAAAAAAGAAGAAAGAGAGGCAGGTTCCTGCCACACAGGGAGAGCCACAGCCAATTCCTCGCCTGATTAGGAAAGGTGTTGTTTCAGTAACCTGCCCTCATGCTGATCAGGAAAGGTGTTCCTACACCCCTTCCCTCCAATGCATAGTTCTATTTTTAACAACTCAAAGAAAAGAAGTGGCATTCCTGTGAATAAAAATACATTCTCTGCGGTTCAAAGTAACGATGAAGACAACCCCCCCTTCCCCCTGCTTCACTTGAAAGTAAGAGAAACGAATAGGAGGGGACCGACGACAAGGCTCTCTCCTGGATGTGCCCACCCCCACTACTCACCCTTAGCGCTTCGAGCTTTTGCTTCAGCTTCTCCAGCTGCCGTGTGGCAGCAGTGGCAGTCGCGATCAACTTCTCGTTGTTCTTCTGATCCTCCGACGTAGACCCGTCCCTGGAGTCAGGTTCAGCAGTGCTGCCCCCTCACTTGTCATCTCTGCTCTTTCCACTGACAGGGATTCCTGCAGAAGCAGCAGCAGCAACAAGGTTCGCAGTACGTTTTTCTGTCTCCTTGACTCTCCGACAGAGCTTCCTGATCTCGAATTGACGTCCCTTCTTGACTGCCTGACCCCAGCACATGGTTCCACCAAATACTTCACGTCAGGCACTGAGCGTCAGCAGTCCCGGCACACACATTAATGGCATTCATGTGTATGTGTCCACTCACATGCACCAAGGAGGCAAAAAAACCCAATCTAGGTCAGATATAGACAGGAAGGGTGCAATTGAAACACACAAGGTGGCGAACACAGCACATGTTTCCACAAATTTCTTCACGTCAGGCATAGCACATGTTTCCAGAAAATTATTCATGTCAGGCACTTCGCGTTAGCAGTCTAGGCAGCACATTAAACCGCCAGTTCCCCCGAGGCAGAGTACTGCTCTTACTGGTTTAGGAGGTAAGAGTTTTTCGACTCTGGCCTGGGCACATGTTTCCACAAAATTCTTCACGTCAGGCACTGCGCGTTAGCAGTCCAGGCACGCACATTAAACCGCCAGTTCACCCGAGGCAGAGTACTGTTCTTACTGGTTTACGCGGTAAGAGTTTTTCGATTGTGGCCTGGGCTGGTAGCGAAAGTGGCACGCCACTTTGAAAAGGTGCAGTTGCAGGCTCGCGAGCCTTGGAAGGGTTGCTTTCTCAACTTAGCCTCCCGTGAACTGGTGGGTTTAACGGCACTCGTGTGCGTGCGTGCATCAACTCGCATGCACCAAGGAGGAGAAAGAACCCCAATCTAGATCAGATATGGACAGCACAAGGGTGCAACAATTGGAACAAGCGAGGGGTCGACCACAACAAATCTTTCGACAACCTACTTCATGTAAGGCACTGGTTGTCAGCAGTCAGTCTGTGGAACGCAGCAATAGCACGTGTGAATGCGCCAACTCGCATCCACCAAGGAGGAGAATGGACCCCAATCTAGATAGACAGCAAGGGAGCAATCGAAACAAACGAGTAACACGACCCTCAACGGTATATTGGCTAAATCACAAAAATAGGCCATAGGGCCTCACCACACCACTGTCGAAACGAAAAAGTACACAGTGCATCTTCCCCAGAAAGTGGCAAGATGCATTCGCTGCTATAAATAGTAATGGATGCATCTTGCCACGTTCTCTGGAAGATGCGCTTGTACTACTTTCTTCATTTCAACAGTGGTGTGGCGAGGCCGATATACCCATTCCCTTCTCACTCTACGTCGATGAGGATATCACAACGTCGACGACGCAAGGGTTGTCTCTCATGTCGCGGGACACGCATACGAACCTGACGCAACTCCTTAACTCTATGGAAGATTTTCCCCTGTTCCGCCTTTCCTGCACTGTCTCCACCTCTCTTGCCAGCGGCTCCTTCTCGTCCCTTGCCTGGAGGCTCCCTCCTGAAGCCAATCAATCCATTAATGAAGCCAATCAATCCATTAATTAATCAATAAAAACCAGAACGAAGAGTCAACCAACACAATATTGCCCACTGGTTCGAAAAACAAGCAACATCGCCCCATTGACAGCTCCGAAAACAAGCAGCAATATCGTCCATTGATCGCTCCGGAAGAATACACAATATTCAATATTGTCCGTTGATCGTTCCAGGAAAACAAGCAATACTGACCGTCTAGTGAGAACTAGAGATGATTGGAATGGCCGATCAAACTCGGAGATAGATGGTTTTACACAAAATTTATTACTGAGGTAGAAACTGTGATCTTCATTGCAAGGTCCCCAGAAAACAAGCAATACGGGTCCATTGATGGTCCCAGAAAACAAGCAGTGTTCTGAAAACAATGTATACAGAAGACACAAAACAGGGGGCACCATGAAGCCCGTGTCTTCTTCCCAGCTGCCCGACTCTGCACACTCACCTGAGCTCTGGGATGCACTTTCAGAAACCCCACACTGCACTCTCGTGCAACTCCCAAACAATAGACGTCGATAGGCACTTTGACTTTTGACCTTCTCTGCGCAGAGGTCAATGCGCACTTGGACCTTCCGTGTGCAAAAGTCAAAGTCAACTCCCAAACGACAGAGGTCAATATGCACTTTGACCTTTGACCTTCTTTGTGCAGAGGCCAAGGTGTACTTTGACCTTCCGTGTACATAAGTCAACTCCCAAACGACAGAAGTCAATATGCACTTTGACCTTTGACCTTCTCTGTGCAGAGGTCGATCTGCACTTTGACCTTGGACCTTCTCTATGCAGAGGTCAATGTGCACTCTGACCTTCTGTGTGCAAAAGTCAAAGTCAACTGCCAAACGACAGAGGTCAGTATGCACTTTGACCTTCTCTGTGCAGAGGTCAATGTGCACTTTGACCTTCCGTGTGTGGAAGTCAAAGCACAGGCTCACACCTTCCCGAACCACAGTTTAAGCCCTTCCCTACATGATGGAGCTCACCAAAGCACGGTAGCACCCCCCCTCATCATCAAAGCACAGTTTTACCCCCTTCCCCCCCTTTACGCATCAAGGCCATCATCAAAGCACAGTTTTATCCCTCCCCCCCCTTATATATTGTTACACAACTATGGATTAAAAGAGCGCACTTGCGAAACAAACGGTCAAGATTAGAATCCTGCCTCTCCCACTTCGTGGCCCTCATACATTCATGAATTACATGTAATGTACTTGTGGGGGCGAAAGTCTAGGACGAATCTATTCTATTATTATCTTATGGTGGTAAATCTCTACGTCTACTCTTCGTTGCTGAAGTGCCCTCCGAACCGTGCGAAATAGTCAGTTGCCCATTACACGGCTCACTAACTCTACTGG